ACCTCAGATTCCTATCCTTGCTTCTGACCTGCCAGAAACAAGCCCAGTAACTTCTTAATGTTAAATCCGCTTCAGAATGCCAACAGTAAATATATGGTTTATTTTAAGCTCTGATCTGTTTCTAAGCTGAAAGCCACTGTCAGAGACTATCCAGAGTCTAAACAAGATAAAAAGGAATTTGTCACAGAATTTAAAAGTTTATGAACTCCAAACTCACCTTTACACATTTTCCTATCTTAAATGGTGACATAAAACACTGACAATTTTTTAAAAAATAAGTGTCTGGAGATATTTTTAGTAAGAGCTTGTTAATTTTCCAATTAAAGTAAAAGGACATCTTTATGATATTAAGTATTTCTCTATGAGAACACAGCATATCTTTTCTACTTTTCAAGCCTACTTATCCATCAACATTAATCCTAAAAATGTAATTTCCCCATTGCTATTAACCTCAATTACTACCACTCCAATACAAGCTTATTATTTCTCACATTGACTATTCAATACCTTGTTCACTAGTATTCACTCATTTCTCAGCCCAATCCATTTTCCATACTGTAATCAAGAGTGATCACAGCAGCACTATTTACAATTGCTAAGATCTGGAAACAGCTCATTAATAGATGAGTGGATAAAAAAGCTGTGGTACACATACACAATGAAATACTATGCAGCTGTACGAAAGAAAGATCTCTTATCCTTTGAGATGACATAGAGGGTCCTGGAGAGTATTATGCTAAGCAAAATAAGCCAATAAAAGAAAGACAAATATCACATGATCTCACTTATTTTGGAATATAATAAACAAAATAAGCTGATGAACAAAATAGATGCAGAGATATAGAAAGAAGTAGGGTTAAGACTGAAAACCCTTAAAGAAGGGGGGTGAGGGGGAAGGAAGAGATGAACCACAGAACTTATGTGCATGTATGCATAACCAATGGACACAGACAACAATGCTGTAGGGAGGGTGTGGAATCGGGAGGAAGGTGTCTATGGGGGGGAAAGGAGAAACATCTGTAACAAAAATAAATAATTAATTAAAAAAGTGATATTTTCAAAGTACATATCTAACCATTTCACCTTGCTATTTTAAACAATTTCATTTGCTTCCCATTGTATTTAGAACAATTACCAAAATTCTTACAACATGGTCTAAAAGATTTGATTCTAACACTACTCCAGCCTCAATTTATAACATGAACCTACTCATGTCTTTGACTTGTAGCAATACTGGTCTTTTAGTCGCCCAGCCACTGAATCTTTATAAACGTATTTCCCCTTCCTCCTTGCACGTGCTCTCCTTTTTCATGTAGCAAATTCCTATTCGCCGTTAGAGCTCAAGGACGATCAGAGAGCCTCAAAATGCTTCTTCCTTTCTGCTACATCGTATTAGAGCCTCTTAGCATATAATGTCCAAGCTAGTGCATGTCCTCCATGATATTTACTATGCTTCCAAGTCTATATTAATTTTGGAATTTTGTTAATATCTCCCTCACTATTATGAAATATCCATGAGGGCAGAGATGAATTCTAGTTTTGCTAGAATTTTATTTCCATATAATAGTTTGAGTCACATCATCTTTCTTAGAAGGAAAGGGAGATGTTGGGAGTGGGGAAGGACAAAGCATCCTAGGTGTGGCAAAATAAATTTCACCACACTCCCTGAGCAGAATTATTGCTGAAGAGTAGTCCTTGCTCTCACCAGGAGCTAAACTGGCTGGCACTCTGAGCATGCACCTCCCAGCCTCCAGAACTGGGAGAAAGTAAATGTTTGTATCTAAGCCACCCAGTCTTTGGTGTTTGTTATGGTAGCTGCCTAAATTTATTAGGACAGCCCTCATTTGAAAAATAAATATTTTGTATTACCCACTTATATAGCTTTAAATGAAATACACTGAAAGTGTCACTTACATATAGACACACTTTCAATGTATTGTCCTAATTATAGTATAAAGAGAAATTAAAGGATTCTGACTTTAAATATGTATTTGAATACATTAATGCTCAAATATGATGACTCTAGAAAACACAATAGATGCTTGCACTTGCTATGTAAGTAAGTTTGGAGTAAATGTAAGAGGATCATAAGCCATTCCATACAAGAAAACCAGGAAAATAAATGAGCAGTCATATACTTCATCAGAGTGTAATAGTACACCATATATTCTTAACAAAACAAAGCATGATCTTTATACCATTTATACTTGTATTCCTGTAATATATGGTGTATATCAAAACAACATGAAAATACTATTCTATGTAGAATTGGATTAGTCCTAGCAACTATGAGCATGTTGTTCACCTCCACGGTGGTCAGTGGGACAGGAGAACTCCTCATTGTTTGGAACTATTCCACTCTCATAGAGTGTCTAGCATCCCTACTCACTAAATATCAAGAACACTTCCCCTAAATAATTGTAATTTTAAAATGTCCCTGAAAATGTCTAAAATGCCACCTGGAGGATGGTCTAACCCCCACTGAAAACCCACACATTAATGAATGCCTATCACACAAAAGGCATGTGGAATCACACGTACAGGAGAGAAGCAGCCAGCGATTCGGGGTGGAGGACTGGTGGAACAAAAAAGAAACAAGACTGAAAGAATGTAAGTATTTATGAGAACAGCTGGTTATAATCATACAAGGCGAAGACAGTTGAGTTTGGCCAAAAGATATGACCAAGTATCTAGAAATCTTAAAAAGGGAGGCAATAGCTAAATCAGTATGGAGAAGTGGAAAAAATGGAAAGTAAAGATGTTAAAAAACCATTATCGAGGGAAGAGATAAACCACAGAACTTATATGCATGTACGCATAACCAATGGACACGGACAACAAAGCCGGGGACAGGGTGGGGGGGACGGGGATGAGGGTTTCAATGGGGTAAAAAAGGAGAAACATCTGTAACAAAAATAAAATTAAAAACATAAATAAGTAAATAAAAAGCAATTATCACACAAGCCAGACCAGCAGTTTCTCTTTTCTCCCAGGACACTGTACTTATTCTAAACTCTAAGACTTCTTCATTTTGCTTTCCTTCTAAAGACATACCCTCGTCTTTGCCTATATAAAACATATTTCTCAACAGAATTCGGACAAAGTCCAACTTTTCTGGAAATTATTTAGCAAGTACTCCCAGCTTTATGACTCTTTTCTTTGTAAAAATCCTATGGTTTCAGAACTAATCCCGTGAGCTCACTTGCCATCCATGGCCCTACAAGGGTAGTATGAACTATCGACTTCTACGCTAACACTAAAAGTGAAGAATCCAGAAGTGAGTGTGTGTGTGGGGGGGGAATTAAAGGTGGTTTGAAATGCAGTTCTTTCAAATAATTCACTTGCAAAAGAGGATTCTAAATATATACACCTATTTTTAAATGAACTAGCCAATGTAGAGCTGGATCACAGTTACCTTAAGATAAAGATTAGTGTCTTATAAACTTTGTCCCTTTCTGTCCATTCTGTATTTGTATGTAATTGGTTAACTTGTTTTCTCTTCATAATCCACTCACACAATACACACATATTAAGATCCACACTATATATCAGGCAATATGCTAGGAACTAGCAATTATCAATAAGCAAGATCAACAAGGTCTTTACCATCCTGGAATTTACAGATTAGTAAAACAGGCAGATTTTAAACAAAGATGAAAATAAATATATAATATAAATTGTGAAGCACGAAAAATTTTAAGAGATCAGTTTGTACCACTTTCTTACTCGTTTACTCCCATCTGCTAACTCCCCCACAGATTTGTTTATTTTATGTTTCTACGTCACAAAGCCCTTCTACAGCCTCTCCAATGAAGTCACGTCAGAGGCAAGAAAGGTTTTGTCATTGTCTTCAGTCAATACATCTTAGAAAGAGCATGTTCATTTAATTGCCCTGGCCAGTTTGGCTCAGCGGTTAGAGCGTCGGCCTGCGGTCCGGAGAGACCCGTGTTCGGTTCCCGCTAAGGGCATGTACTTCGGTTGCAGTTTGTCCCCGGCCCTGGTTGGTCGTGTGGGTGGCAGCCACTCGATGTGTCCCTTTCACGTCGATGTTTCTCTCTCTCTCTTTCTTCCTCTCTCTCCCTCCCACTCTATCTGTACAAAAGATGGAAAAATGTCCTCAGGTGAGGATTAAAAAAAATATATATATATATATATATATTTAAATAAAAAAATATAGGACATAAACTACTAGTATTGTGGCAGATAATTCATATGGTACCCCATATGATTTTATATGATACACAAAACATTTTAAATGGCACATGGACATACACTAAATAACATAGCATCACAAAAAAATGTGTGTTCTTTTCAATTCTCTTTCAATCAGAAATCTTCAGTTAGCTACTTATGTCTCTCATACCTATCTATCATTGTTCATCTCATGTTACAAAATAGAGAACATGGCTCAGAGCCTTTGGAAAACAACAGTTAGCTAGCCAGAGTTTAGTAACTGTTTTGCTTTCACAGTATCTTTAAGACTATCATTCATTTAAAGCATGTGCTATTGATTTTTCATTTACAGTGGTGAGATAAAAAGGTAAATTTAAAGAAAACAGTATAAATTACATGTTGATGTTATGAGGATGCACTGTGAATGACTGAAGTTTATAAATAGTACTGTGTGAGGTACTACTAAAAGTAACAACCTACCTTCCTTCTTTCCTTCCTTCCTTCCTTCCTTCCTTCCTTCCTTCCTTCCTTCCTTCCTTCCTTCCTTCCTTCCTTCCCCCGCCCCCTCTCTCTCTCTCACACACACACACACACACACACCCAGATACATTCAGTAACTAAACCAAAAGAACAATCTAAAGCCTACAAAATACTTGTAGAAAGACATGGAATGAAAAGTCTATTCTACCACTTGACAATATAGCCAAAATAATGACATTCATGATATGACAATTATAGTTGGTGCATTTTTTTTTACTATGATCATCTCTGACTTATGCTTTACTGAAAGCAAGGATAATTATCATTCTGTAATTTACACTACATACCTTATAATCCTTGGGTCGGTAGCTGCCAAGATGAGAGTGATCTGAAGAAAGATATATACAAGAAACTGTAAACATTTTATATCAAAAAGAAGAATATTTGATTTCATCTTTGCTTTTTGCTATCACTATGTTTCTGTGATTATAATGCATACAGCAGTTTTCAGAAATAGCTTAAAATCCTTCAATGTCACACAAGCAAGAATGATAAGCAATAAATTAAAACTTGTATTAGTTCTTCAGTAATTAAGTAATTTCATAAATACTAATTTCATTAGGGTGGGAAATATCTGAATACAGACCAGAATAATTTTTAGTTGATTAACCAATTTGTCTTCATGAATGGTTATAAAATTGACATGGATGAAATGGATAAGTTTTAGTTAATAAAGCAGTTTATGATGAAATATAATTCGAATATATAGATTTAATAGATATTGTCAACTCTTCTTGGAGTCCATGCTAGAATCAAGTCTGTCAAATGGAAACAGGGCCAGTTTCAGAGGGTGTAGCATACCTCAGTGTACAGACCTTGCTGACAAACAGATCTACATTACAGTCTAGCCCCCAGCACTTCCTTCACGACCTTGGGCAAACTACTTCATCTCTCTACGACCCATATTCCTCATCTGTCTGATGTACCTTGTTCGTAATTTATTTTAAAGACTGCATTAGACATTACATGCAAGGTAATAAAATAAATTTTAATACATTACTAACATCATCATCAACATCATTACAATCAAATTCTAAGTCAAACAAGCCTAGGTTGAATTTCTGATTCTACCATTTATCAAATATATTACTTTGGCAAAGTTATACAATTAATCTGTTTCATTCCTCATTTTAAGAGTATGAAGGCAATGCTTACTTTACCTCAGAGAGTCATAGTGATGATTAAGTTATACAGCTTATAGAAGTCCCTAGCACGGTCTCTGTAACAAATCGAATTATAAAACTATTCTAAATCTCTCCCTAAGATAAGGACCACTACATTGTAGATGCAGATTTGGGGTTTTACTCATTATTTAAAGGAGTCAACTTTCAAGAATCAACTTTTAAGTAGTATAATCTCTATTATATTGACAGTCAAGTAAATTAGAACCATAAATCGCAATTCTACTTCCTTGCTCATACATTCTGGTGAAAAGCATATTACATTTTACCTCCCAAATAGCTTTTTCCAGGAAAAAAAAAAGGCTAGATAGACAGAGACCTAGGATAAACTATATTCAGTCAACAGTTAGTTTTTGTTAATGGCACAAGGGGATGTTGGTTTTCCAAGTCCCCTAAACCATTAAAGAGAACTGCTGAAACATTAATGTCCTCCACACAAGGGCAGTTTCACCATTTAATTCAGAAAGATTCTACTTGCTTCAAGTGCCTTTCAAAATGAAAATAAATCATAGCTGCCTCCTCTTTTGTAAAATCTAATGCACAGGCATGGCCACAAATAGGAGAAAAAAATAAAAGAATGATAAAGAATACTGAGCCAATTGCTCCAAACATGCTAGCTTTGAAAATGAAGGTAGTAATTTCTGGACATGGTATACATTCCTTCTGGCCACTAATGTAATATTACAAGTATCAATATATTAAAGCACTTGTATGTCTTCTGCCTTCCACAAACCATTTATAAACTTATCCCAATTCAGATTTATAATTTTCTTTCATTTTTACAAATTAAGCTCTTCCTTGGAATGTGAGATTTCCCAATGTTCACATTTAATCTCCCTTACCAATAATTACTATATTCTAAATGCATGAGATAAAGGAGGTTAGATTCACAGCCCATGGTTGTGAAGTGCTTATAATCTACTTTGGTTAAGTTATACAAAGTGAGTAACAGCATAAAAGAACAGAATGATACAGGCAATTAATACTATTAAAAAGTCATCTGAAGCCCTGGCCGGTTTGGCTCAGTGGTTGGAGCGTCAGCCTACAGTCCAGAGAGTCCCGGGTTCGGTTACCGCTAGGGGCACATACCTCGGTTGCAGTCTGCCCCTGGCCCTGGTTGGGTTGTGTGGATGGCAACCACTCGATGTGTCCCTTTCACGTCAATGTTTCTCTCTCTCCCTCCCACTCTATCTGAACAAACTATCGAAAAAAATTTCCTCGGGTGAGGATAAAAAAAAAGTCATACGAAGATCAATCTCTCAAGGTTGAAGGAAATAAAAAACAACAACTTCCTAAAGGAGGAAAAAGTTGAGTTGGACCTTAATGAATGGGTCACATTTGAAAAAAGTAAGAAGAGCTAATTCAGATCGAGGCCGTGTATGTGTGTGATCTTGATCAACTTACTTCTTTAAACCTCAGATTTCTTTAGGATAAATAACTATCTAAAATTCTTGGGGTTACTATGAGTAATTAACCAATGAAATGTATTTAGAATAGTAGCTAACAGAAAGCACATTCAAGAAATGTTAGCGATTATTTGATTCTCCAATAACTTCATGAAATAGATACTATGGAATGAATGTTTGTGTTATCTCAAAATTCAAACGTTGAAGGCCTAATCCCCAAAATGATGGTATTTGAGATTGGACCTCCGGGTGGTAATTAGAGTTAGACGAGGTCATGAGGATGGGGCCTCATGACGGAAAGAATGGCCTTATCAAACGAGACATCAGAGAGCATGCCCTCATGCATATGCTCACGTGTGTTCTTACTCTCTCTTCATTTCTTTCTCCGTGGAGACATGAAGAAGAGGTCACGTGAGCACAGAGTGCGATGGCTGCTGCCTACAAGCTCAGAGAAGAGATCTCAGAATGAAACCTATCATGCCAGCACCTCGAACTTGGACTCTCCAGCCTCCAGAACTGTGATCAAGTGTCTTGTTTAAGTCCCCAGTCTATGGCATTTTGTTATGGCAGCCTAAGCAGACTGATACAATACATAACACTATTATTTCTACTTTACATTTCAGGAGGCTGATTTCCTATGTAGCTCACAAGTAATGAAACTGAGGTCTCTGATTAGTCCAGTGCTACTGCCACTAATATAAGAATAGTACATTTCCTTATTATGAAACAAAAGCACACAGAATAAAAGTGACTTTGTCTCAAAAATGACTCAGATTATGGATCTGTTAATCAAATGGATGTGATATTTAATCAAATATCAAGTAGTGACTAACACTACAGGTTAAAAACGAAATGCAGCAATCAGTCATCAAAATATTCCCTCAGCAAATATCTAATATAGAAATTAAAATCCTCTTTGTATTGAAGTCACCATTCACACAGGGAGTAGTCTGATAGCTCAGAGCCTCTTGCATCCTTCCTCTCTCCATAGTTGACTTTCACTCGACAGGTTTAGATATGACTCAATCTTAAAGGGCAATCATGACTTTAAGCAGGAGAGTTTTAATCTAAAACCTAGCAACTCTATCAATTCATTGTTTCTATCAAATTCTTGAGCTCTATACTGATAATTATTGCCACTATATATTTCCTATGAATCAATGCTGATCTTGGCAACCTCCATAGTACCCCTACTAAAAACAGCTCTGTCGTCGTCTTTTTTCCTAACTTCTAGGTATTAAATTCCATTCTGGTATATAGTACTAACACTATTGCAAATATTTCCTAATGATGAATCTATATACCTATTTGAAACTTCAAAGAGCCCCATCTCCAAATACCATGACAATGGGGTGAGAGCTTCAACATACGAATTTTGGAGGGACACAATTCATTCCATAATGATGTCTTTGCAAAAATAAAATTTATACACAGGTACATAACAGAGAGAGATGAAGGCAGGAAGGGAAAGAGATAAAGGGAAGTAGAGAGAAAAGCAAATACTAGTATGTGTAGATTCTGAAAGGCATATGAGAAGTCTTTGTACTCCTTCAACTTTTCTGTAAGTCTGAAATTTGGCAACTATATATAACCGTTAAGACAAATCAGACACAAGTGCATTCCAAAAATATCTTCCAAATAAACATCTATAGAATTATTTTTTATTTTCTTGTTCTTTTTTTTTTTAAATATGTTTTTATTGATTTTAGAGAGAGAAAGGGAGAGGGAGAGAGAGAGAGGGAAACATCAATGATGAGAGAAACATCAATTGGCTGCCTCCTGCATGCCACCTACTGGGGGATCGAGCCCACAACCTGGGCATGTGCCCTGACCAGGGATCAAACCCGGGACTTCCTGGTGCACAGGTAGATGCTCACCCCCTGAGCCACACCAATTGGGCTTATTTTCTTATATCCATAAATTTCTTCTAAGAGGAGGAACAGAGTACTACATCTGTTCCTAATTTCAAATAACCTGACATTCTAAGTATAAAAGACACTGATTACCACATCTATCTCCTTGTTAGTGCTAAAACATAAAGCAAAATAAATGAGCACAAACTCTGAATGTTCTCAGAGAAGAATGTTTCATTTCCCCACTTAATAAAAAGAGATTATACACAACAGTTTAGAAAGAGCTGGAGGAGCTCACTACATGTCATGATTATACTGTTTCACTCCATCTCGTTTTCCTCTCTCGGTGCCTTTGTCAGTGTGTAGCGAGCTGCTCGAGGCTGCTGGCGAATGAACGGCTGCTGAGTGACCAGCCAACGTCTACAGATACTAGCCCCCAAATATCCCTAATCACACAGTAACGTTTTACCTTCATAAAAATCATCTTTAACTTGAACTAAAGAAAATACTTATCTAACTAACTGTTAGGACCAGGACTAAAGTTTAAAGATATATTCTTAAAAACTGAACCTAAAGGATGTTATATTTTTCGGAAATATAAATATTGTTTATATATTATAATGACAGCAGATATTTGTAAGTCCAGTGTGATAGGGCAGTTTACATGGTAGCATTTACCATGTTATCTTCATTCTTCAATAGATTGTCAAAATAGTTAAAAATTTATTCAAGAATGCCACTTTGTAAATAAATGGCAGAATAAATATTCAAATATACGTGTAAATGTCTGCCCCAAACCTATAACCTTGAACTTTTTACTACAGTATTTCCCAAAGTCTGTTCCACAAAGTAAATAATATATGTTAAGGTGAGGAAAGGGTTCCACAGTCAAGTAAATTTAGAAATTGTTGAGTAAAACAAAATCAAGTTTTAATTTTACTAGAAATTATTAGTCTTTAATATGTTAGTACATATTTTGTATCTCAAAGAGGGAGATGATTTATATAGCAGGGCAGAAATTTTATTAATGTTGGAGCATACCTACATGGGTGTCCCAAAAGTTTAAAAAAAAAAAAAAGCAGCACTATACCATATTATCCAATAATTCAGCAAAGATTTTGTTTCTGTTACTTGATGTGAAATTGAAGGCTTGATGGTCGCCAAGGCGATAAAGCAATGGAGAGAGAATGCGTAGCTCACCATTGTGCATCCTGGACCATCCATCTCTTTCACAGTCTCTGCCAGAAGATCCGAATACAGTATCAGCCCTGGGACTTGGAGGATCAACCTAGAAAAGGAATTCAATGTAAAAACAAACGTAACAGTTTAAATCTTCTTTCAGTCCCATGGTACCAGGAAATCTACTAAAGTACCAGACCACACATCTTCAGGTTAACGTGATCATGACCACATGGTTCATCATGTTTCAACGTCAGAGCATAGTTGAGTATTTTGCTGTTCATTTCTAAACAAAATTGATTTATTAAACTCCAGAATTGTTTAGTTATATATTTGAGCCTATTTAAAACTGAACAGATATCCAGTTGAAATATTCATTACTCCATTGCCTAGTTTGCTTTCCATTATGAAGTCTAAAAACCAGGAATCTACTTGGCCACATTTAAAAAACAAGTTTTAGCCCTGTCTGGTTTTGCTCAGTGGTTAGAGCATCAGCCTGCGGTCCCGAGAGACCCGGGTTCGGTTCCCGCTAAGGGCATGCACCTCGGTTGCAGTGTCCCCGGCCCTGGTCGGTCGTGCGGGTGGCAGCCACTCGATGTGTCCCTTTCACATCGATGTTTCTCTCTCTCTCTCTCTTCCTCTCTCTCCCTCCCACTCTACCTGAACAAAAAATGTCCTAGGGTGAGGATTAAAAAAAAAAAAAAGTAAAAAACAAGTTGTAGCTATTTGCTACTTATCTCCTTAGCATGTAGACTGTGACTTCAAACAGTGTCTTTACTCGGCTGTGTTCAGAGTCCAGCATGCTGAGTGCTTTATAGCTTACAGATAATAACAGCTAACCACATTTTCTCACCAAAATTTAAAAACTCAGTGATATAAATCCTGTAAAAAAAGACAGCTCTATTCATGAAAATGAAAATTTTTGTGCATTAAACAATACCAACAGAGAATACAACCCATAGGAAAAAATATCTGCTAATTACCTGATACATAAGGCATTAATATGCAAAATATGTAAACTTCTACAACTTAATTTTAAAAACTCAATTAAAAGTGGGCAAAGGACTTAAATAGACATTTCTCCAAAAGATATAAAAATGACAAATAAGCACATAAAAAATGTTCAATAACACTAGTCATTAGGGAAATGCAAATTAAAACCACAACGAGATAATATTTCATACGCATTAGTATTACTATTACTGGGGACAAAACAAAAAGTAATAAAAGTTGAAGATGTGGGGAAATTGAAACCCATTTGTATCGCTAGTGGGAATGTAAATGGGTGCAGCTACTATGGAAAATAGTATGAAGGTTCTTCAAAAAATTCAAAATAAAATTATAATATGATTCAGCAATTCCATTTCTGAGTATTTACCCAAAAGATCTGCAAGCAGGGAGCTGAACAGATATTTTGACACTGTGTTCACAGCAGCACTATTGACAATAGCCAAAAGGTAGAAGCAACCCAAGTGTCCATCAACAAACAGATAAATAAAACGAGGCATACACATATAAAAGAACATTGTCCCACTGTAAAAAGGAAATTCTGACAAATGCTATAACATGAATGAACCTTGATGACATTATGTTAAGTGAAATAAGCCAGTCACAGATGGACAAATACTGTATATTCCACTTATATGAGACACCCAAAGGGGTCAAATTCATAAAGACTGACAGCAGAAATAGCAGTTGCCAGGGCTAAAGGGAAAGGGGAGTGTGGAGTTGTTGTTTAATGGGTTTTGAGTTTCAATTTAGCGAGGTGAAAAAATTCTGCAGACAAAGGGTGATTATGATTATACAACAGTGTAAATGTATTTAATGCCACTAAACTGTACACTTAAAAATGGTTAAAATAGGCCCTGGCTGGTTTGGCTCAGCAGTTAGAGTGTCAGCCTGTGGACCAATGAGTCTCAGGTTCAATTCTGTTCGTCCCCGGCTCTGTTCAGCTCATACGGGAGGCAACCAATGAATGTGTCTCTGTCCCTCTCTCTTTTTTTCTCTCCCTCTCCCTTTCATCCACTCTATCTGATAATAAATAAAAAAAATCCTCAAGTGAGGATTTAAAAAAAGTGGTTAAAATAATAAATTTTATATTGTGTATATCTTAGCACAATTTTTATAATTTAAATTTTAAAAAGGAGAATCAAAAGACAAGTCACAGAATGAAAAAATTTACAAATCATACCTGATAAGGTTCTAGAATCCTAAATATATAAAGAAAACTTAGAACTGAAAAACAAACCAATCTATTTAAAAATGGGCAAAAACCATGAATAGACATTTCTCCAAAGAAAATACATAATTGGCTAACAAGTACATGAAAAGATGCTAACATCTTTAGTCATTAGGGAAATGCAAATCTAAACCATAATGATATACCACTCCATACCCCCTAGGATGGTTATAACAGACAGAAAAAAGAAAAAAAACCACCAGTGTTGTTGAGAATGTGGATAAATTGGAACCCTTATACATTGCTGGTGGGAATGTAAAATGGGGCAACCACTGTGGAACACAGTTTGACAATTCCTCAACAAACTAAACTTAGAGTTACCTCATGGCCCTTTCATTCCTGCATATTAAAGCAATTAGGATTAAAACATGTATTCAAACAAAAACATGTACAAATATTCATAGAAGGGCTGTTCACATAACCAAATAGTGAAAACAACCCAAATGCCAGTCAACAGATGATGGATAAACAAAACTTGGTATATATCCATATAATAGATTATTATTCAGCCATAAAAAGAATCAAGTACTGATTCATGCTACAACATGGATGAAAACTCTAAAACACTGTGCTAAGTGAAAAATGCCAGATACAAAGTGCCAATATTGTATGATTCCACTCATATGAAATGGCAGAACAGGGAAAGCCATAGAGATAAAAAGCAGATTCATGGTTGCCAGGAGCTAGTGAAAGGAAGGGATGGGAGCTGAATGCTTAATGAGTCCAGGGTTTTTGTTTAGGATAATGAAGGTCTGGAAATAGATAGCTGTGACAGTTGTAGAACAATATGAATGTACTTAATGCCACTAAATTATATATTTTAAAATGACTGAAATGGTAAATTCTGTTACATGTATTTTACCATGATAAAAAAAAAATGATTCTGCATAAATAAAATCCTACTCTGGACAAATGAAAAAGAAAAAAAATGGTTGTGCCAGTTTGTTTGGGAGCATGCCAGTGATTTCTTGAAACTGCTCCATATTCTTAAAGGCTATTTTTAATACAATGAATGTAAAACTAAAATGTCTTCCCTAAAAGTGTTAACATTTTGCATATGCATGTACCAAATTAAAATTTTGTATGGTTATCAATTTAAGTGTTTTTAAAATCATGAATGGCTATGGGGTTGTGAGGGGCATGTTTATGTTTACAAATACAACTAGAAAAATCCAATTTCCTATACAATAAGGCAAGCAATTTTCTAACTGCGTTTCTTTCTATTCATTTGAAAGCTGAGAGGAAAATCACTTTAATAAAAATGTCAAGGTTTATACAAGCCATGTAAGAATTATTCTATTCTTCCCATCCCCATCAAATAAGGATTTGCTTCAAAGATCCATTCATTATGTAAGGTTTACCCACAAGATATAATTTCAAAGAAAATTTACTTTCCATTATAATTTTTAAAAAGTCAAGGGGAGCCCTGGCCAGTGTTTCTCAGTGGTTAGAGTGTCGGCTTGTGCACTGAAGGGTCGTGGGTTCAATTACTGGTTAAAGGCACAAACCTGGTTGCAGGTTTGATCCCTAGCACTGGTCAGAGCACAAGTAGGAGGCAACCAACTACTCTGCTATTTTAGTTTTAATGTCAATTACATCTACGTTCAATTTGTAGAGTTATTACACTGTACGCAGTATAAGAAGAAAATGGGTTTAACATTACATTCAAAGTGGAGCTTGATCTTTGTCAGGTGTAAAGACTGACAAAAAAATGTTCTTTTATTCTAAGTTACTTTTCCATTTTAGATTGCTAGGCTAACAGTTCAGGGAAATTATGAACATAGGCTAGAAGTTAAAAGAAGTTTTAGAATAATGTTTTCATGAAAGAACAGATTAGATCAGTTTCAAATGGAAATGTTTAAGAGAACACATACATGTCTAATCACAAATGGAGGTTTATCTGTTTCTTTTTTGAATTCATAGGGTCCCAGATTTAAATGGGCCAGCCGCCGCCTGGTGTCTTCAGATAGCTCACACATGCGTCTTTTTGTGTAGGGAGATGGAGAGTGTGATTTTGAAGAAATCGTAGGCTGTTCGTAGTTTTTTGCATTTACACAATATTTACTTCTCTCAGGTGACTTGGATTTTTTCTTTTGTGATCTTGATGTTCTGCTTTGCAGTCTGCCGTGTGATTTTTCAACTGGAGCCGTATGGTACATATATTTATCCTAAACATAAAAAATAAAAATTAACTTGAGTAGAAGAGCTAGCTAGCTAGCTAGCTAGATAGATAGAAAGATTTTATATATATACTTTAAAAAGCAATTTACCGCAGTATAAGCTATCAAAGCCAGCTAAATCAGTCTTTCCTATTTGTGAAGATTCTGGGGGAAGTCAAACTCATATTCTCCTAGAGAACTCTTTGTCTAATAGTTAATTAAGTATACTGTATGAAACTTCCTTCTTACATCTAACAAGTACTTTATGAAAATGAAAACCCAATATTTAATCACTTGAAAAATCTAAGAAACAAAGCCTGAAAATTATCTTTCAGTACACTAAAAAAATTAATGCTAACACAGATTTATTATTTATAATTAAGTGCTCAAATAATTGGATATTAATATAAGAGGACTTTGCTTAGTAATGTTACAAATACACGTCTAATTAGAAAATCTTTATTGAGAAAACTATTAAAATAAGTTTCATTCATAATGATATGATTATAAATATAAACATATATATATACACACACACATATATATGTATATAAATAAAGATTCCTACTTCACAGAAATTCATTTATTGTGGTAGAGTCTGGAAATGATTAACCACAATAAACGAGGGCCGACTGTACAATGTGAAAATCTGAAGAACAGGTTTTCATGAAATGTATTACTTGACTTACACCAGGTGATCAAGGATTTTAAGATTGCCACCAAACCATAACTTTACAATTCAATGACAGATAACTGTACCATCTTAATTCTGGTTCCACATTGTTATAAAAGTAAAAATGTATAAAAGGCATGCTATAAACTTTAATGACTTGAATTCTATCTTTTAAAATAATAGTTATCAGTCTAAAATAAAATAAAAATGTGATTATTTCTAATTTTTTTGCATTATCAGGAAAACGTTTTATTAGTCTCTGCCTTATAAATACATTAAATGTTGTATTATAAGTAAATAAGACCTCTTCGCTCATTATCTAGGATTATGACCTTTCCAATATTAGAGAAAATGGGCAGCTGAGACTCTTTGGATGTCCTCCTAAATTTAATTACTTTAGAAAACCACCAATCCTATCCCCATCTCTACTTTCTTAACCCCCTTCCCTATTTGCTAAAAGTATCTATTCAAAGAAAATAGAATACAAGAGTGAAATAAAAGGGAGAAGAGTAAAATATTTTTTAAATAGATAAAAAGGAAAAAATATATTGTCCTAATTGAAAAACCAAGTCCATGCGTTTCATACAAATCAGCAGTATCAGATTATTTCTTCATCTGTCTTCTAATAGCTGTTGATATGCTCCTGGACCTTCTCCCACCTTGTTCAATGACCTCAACAAGTAATTCAGAATTTTTCTACCTTACCCCATTTCATCTACCTCTATGACATCACACTGACTCACAAAGGCAGGAATGTTAGTACATGAAAGGACCTTTGAGGTTTAATAAAATGTTCAAGCAATGAATCTTTCTAAGACCTTGGACTGAAACTTTCTATTTCTCAATTTCTTTCTATTTCTTTAATTATCTTCTTGTACTCTGTCTTAGATTTCATAATTATGCAGATCCATTATAGCCCAAACTCTGAAAATCCCTTGCTCACCAAAACTCCTTTTCCTCAACCTACTTCTTTTATTCTCCCTGAATCTGTTACTTGCCATCTCAACTCCTCAGTGCCTAGATCTTTCCCCCAGACCTTCATATATTTTTAGTATCTCTTACCTCCAGACTGAGATGAACCCATAATCATCATCTTCAATGCTGTCAATTCCTACTTATCCACCTCTGGTTATACCAAACCTAAAGTAATCAACCCCATCTTCTTTCTTCATGTTTTTGAGCTGAGTATTACTAAAGGGAGTTATAAACAGTGGTGTGTGTACCATAGATAACATGCTATCTAACTGTCCTCCATCCCTAATGCATCCTATTAATGTCAATAAAACTCAAAGCAGGTGTGTTTATGCTGCTGACATAATGGCTTGCTCCTCTGGCCAACAGGATAATTGCACAGGTGACACAAGGAGAGATCTGAAAAATGCGTGTTGTCTTTTACTCCTAAGAACCTTCCTGCCACTATGTGATAGAGCCAAACTGAGCAAGTTTGCCTACAAGATGATGAGAGTCTGTGCCATTGTCCCAACTGAAGTCAAGCCAATGACCTGAAATGTAAAGTCCCTCCCTAGACCAAAGAGGCCGCCAACAGAGAGACTCATGAATGAAGCCATCCCAGATCATTCAGCCCTAGCCTAGCCGGTCCAGACCAAAAGAATCACCAGCCAGTCACAGAACTGTGAGAAACATCTTGCTTTAAGCCACTAAATCAATGTGGCTTTTAATACAGCAAAAGCTACCTGATGTAGTAGACAGACAAACATATTAATAAAGCTATTACTGATATTTAACTAATAATAAATTCTTTGCAGTAGGTAAAATGAATTAAGTAGAAAACTAGTTTTATTCCAGAAAAATCTAATGATATCCTTAATTTTTTTCAGTCCATCTAACTGGTAACAAAACATTCGATTTGAAAATGTGCCAAAAGAAATAAAGATCATTATAAGTATTGTAAACTTCAATAATCTCAATAATTTTTATGATTTCATTGACTTGTCTTCTTAATAACAAAAATGGTCTCTCTTCTTATATTTGAATATGAAAATGTTGCTTTATAGTCATTAAAATTTTAATTGTAATTAATATTCACTTTTTAAAAAGTATATTTATCATGTTCTCAAATAAGATTAAAATTCTGGCTGCTAACGTTCATAGTTTCAATGTAAATGCATATACTCTATTGTGCCTACTACACATTTTCTATTTTATATTTCAACTCTTCTGATCTCTCTCAATTATCTCAATTAAAACAATCTAGTGACAGTCACACAATTCATTAACTACATGTTATGTGCTAGGCACATTGCGTATTTCTCTAATTGAATCTTTAAAGTAGCCTTATGAGGAAGTGGAACCCAGATCTGTCGGACACCAAACCCTATTTTCTTACATCTCTGTTCAATAAAGAACAAATGACAAAGATCGAAATAGCAAGTTTTAAAAAGTTTTCCCAAAACTTTACAGAGGGAAATCTTAGTTCTTAAGTTTAATGAAACTACTAGTGGGGAGACTCTGGAAACAGTTTTACGTTTAGAACGGACTCTTCCACCAAGCTGCACACTTAGAATGTATGCACTTTTCTGTGTACATGTTATACTCCAGACAAAGAAAGACGTCTCTACCCACGCACTAGAATGACATACCCTAATGTGGAGAGAAAACTTTTTTGTCTGAGTCCATGAAAGACAGTTCTAACAATGTACGATGTCTAACAAGTATGCACAGTGTATATCTCAAAAACAAGTAGAAACCTATCTCTACATTTGGAAAGCACAGGTGGTTAGAACTCTAATAGCTGTGTTTCAGCTTGCATTTTAAAAAGATAATGACAGCAAAACTCTGATGTTATTAAACATCTTGCTAAATAAAATATGATCCCTTTGATAATTTTATCATTGTATTTACCTTTCTTAGCTTAAGTCGCAGTTATCATCTTCAGCAAACTTATTCTAAAACTGACAATACAGTAAATTAACACTCCACGCTTCCCATCTTAGGTTCAGTCCTGCCCTGTTTGGGCTCTGTGGGCTTATATATTACTGGCTCTTCATCACAGGCTGGTCATTGTTACCTGGTCATAATGCAACCACATATGAGTAATGCCTAGACATTAACAGACAACCTATGGACAAGGTTGCAAGACGACCCTGGTGACTCAGAATGGAATATTAGACCTGGGTATCTCAGTTTACTAAGGGCAGTTTTCAAAATTATAGAACATACTTAGACAGGAGTGTCTGAGATTCCTTTGATCTGATATTATCAGTATTGTCACCAAACTGAGCAGTAGTCCCTTAAGGAATCAAAGACACTCAAGAAACCGTAACTCACCAAATACCAATATCCCAGCCTGATAAACCCTGTCATATTTGCTAAAAAGGTATCCTTTAGCCCAGCCAGTGTGGTTCAGTGGTTGAGTGTCGACACATGTACCAATGGGTTGCTGGTTTGATTCCCAGTTGGGGCACATGCCCAGGTTGTAGGCCCAGTCCCCAGTGGGGGGCATGCAGGAGGCGGCCAATCAATGTTCTCTCTCATAGATGTTTCAATCTCTCTCTCCTTCTCCCTTCCTCTCTCTAAAATCAATAAAGAAAAAAAAAATTTTTTTTAAGGTATCCTTTGAACTTTCTGCAGTAACCTGGAACTTCTGTAAGATTTATAGAAGCCTCTAATCTAGTCCTCATGGGATGTCTTGATCTCAACATCTTTCTGACAGCCTGACTTCTTTGTATTAAAGAAAGCCCCATAAAGTTTAAAAAAGAAAATAACACCATGGCATCATCTATCACATGCACCACTTTCCACTCTCACATTTATTAAGATGTAGCCAAAGAACATATGTGCATAACCCATAGACACAGAAAACAGTGTGGTGTTGGGCATAGGGAAGAGGTGGGGGCTGGGTGGAGGTGGGGATGGGAACATCTGTAACAATGTCAACAATAAAAATAAAGTTTAAAAAATATAAAAAAAATTTTTAAAGATGCAACCAAGCTGCTAAAACCTGTAATTATTTTACCTATTGACCAAAAAAGGTAAAAACAAATGCAGCAAAAAGTAAGTAAAGTAAATAAATAAATAAATAAATAAATAAATAAATAAATAAAGCTTTCCAAATGCCCATAAATATGAACAGATCAATTAAACCATTAAACACTTGACATCACTAACCTGAGTGCGGCACTTCCTTGAACTTATCAGACATTCGGTAATCACTGAGGTTGTAGAAAATTCCAGCTTTGGAGCAATTCCCTGAGTGGGGAAAAAGGTATTATCAGATGTTTCAATTTAAAAAACAGATAATGATTCGTGATGAATATACGACCTAAAGTAACAAACACTTGTCAAGGTTTGGTGGCTTCATTTGTTGGTTTGTGCTTCTTATTAAAGATAAAGACAACATAATAATATTGAATGTTAGCTGGAAACAGTTTCACTGCTGATGATTCACATACAAGTTGATTATATTACTTTTTATTAAAGTCATGAATACATGAAAATACTTAATGGATTTCAGCTCTTTTTATTTTTACAACTAAAGACATATCTAACTACATAATCAATAAATACTTTCGATAGCTCTGGCCAGTATGGCTCAGCAGTTAGAGCGTCGGCCTGCGGTCCAGAGAGATCCAGGTTTGGTTCCCGCTAAGGGCATGCACCTCAGTTGCAGTTTGTCCCCGGCCCTGGATGGGTCGTGCGGGTGGCAGCCACTTGATGTGTCCCTTTCACGTCAATGTTTCTCTCTCCCTCCCTCCCACTCTATCTGAACAAAAAATGGGAAAATGTCCTTGAGTGAGGATAAAAAAAATTTTTTAAAAAAGAAATATTTTCGATGGTCTCTTCATGTTAAAAAAAATTTCACAGCTCCTGGACATAAGTTGTTGAAAATAAGAGAAGAGAAAAGTCTCTATCAATTCCGCCAACATTTCTTCCCATAATGTAGCTTTCATTCAGATCTATCAATGAATCTGGCTTCTATTTCTTACAACATTTCAATTATGAGCGTGAACACTGTTTTGAGATACGTGAAGACAAATGGTGAAATTCAAAGGAACAGTCACAAAGCACCTGAGAAAATATTTGGAAGTACGCAAGTTATGCATTCACCAAAACATGAGAAGGTATTTTCTGCTCTCAGTGTAGCATCTAATACAGTGGAAATCAGACATTGACCAAAGGTACCTACATCTGTCCTCTACAAACCCAGACTTTGACCTACTAGGTTTAAAGTTTCAAACATCACATATGTTATAGAAAAACAAATCTGACTTGCCTAAAAATTAACTGAAGAATTGTTTTTCTGCAAACATATCTATTATTAATAATATCCATTATGCCTCTCTTAGTTATCTATTGCTGATAACATATTGCTTAACAGTTTAAAACATCAGTAAATACATTATCTCACATAGTTTCCATGGGGCAGGAATCTGGCAGATGCTGAACTGAGTGGCTCTGGCTCAGAATCTCCCATGAGATTGCAATCAAGATGTCATCTGGGTTACAGTCATCTGAAGGCTTTACTAGGACTGGAGGGTCTGCTTCTAGAGAAGTTTCTCTCACTCAGCTTAGGCTGAATGCCTCAGTTCTTTCCTAGCTTTTAGCAAAGACTCAGCATCTCATCAGATAAACCTCTCCACAGGACTGCTTGACATGGCAGCTGGTTCTCTCAAATACAGTGATCCAAGAGCAAAAACGAGGAGGAGGCCACGATCCTTCTGCAACGTGGTCTCAGAAGTGTAACACTCATGCGTCTGCCGTATTGTATTCATTGGAGTCACTAAGTACAGCCCACAGATAAGTTAGGCTAACTTTTCAGTAAAGGGGTACCAGAAATTTTAAAACCACCAGTCTAGCCTCTGACCACAAACTACTTGCATTCCTTGAGAGAGAGAGAGAAGTCCCGATTCCACAGGGCAGGCTGGCAGGCTGTAAACTCAGGCTGAAGCTGACACCGCAGTCTTGAGTGTGAAATCTGTAAGCAAGCCAGAGGCTGGGAGCTCAGGCAGTGTTTCCACACTAGTCTTGAGACAGGATGCTTCTTCAGAAAACCTCGGTTTTTGCTCTTCAGGCATTTAGTTAATTGGATGAGGTTTACCTATATTGGCAAGGGCAATCTCCTGTACTTAAAGTCAACTGATTGAAAATATTAATCACATTCACAAATATCTTCACAGTAATATTTAGACGACTATTTGACCAATAACTGGGCTCCATAACCTAACCAAGTTGACACATAAAATTAATCATCACACCATTTCAAATGTCACTCTATGAAATCTCCAATAAGATGTAATTCATTCATTCAATTCAATCAAGAAGCATTTAAGTACCTACTCCAGGCCAAGTACTATGCTAAGAGTACAATTCAAAAAGAGAAAAATCACTGATTGTGTTTATGACATTCACAATCTAAAGAAGATATTACCAGGGGTGGGTGGAGGTGACAGAAGGTATAGAGGGGATAAATGATGATGGAAAATAAAATAAAACAAAATAAACGATATCATCATCATCAACACCACCATCACTACCGCTGTCATGATCTCCACAGCAATCATCATATATCACTAACATTTACTGAGAGTTCTTTATGTGTTAGGTACTGCTATAACCACTTACAAGGTTTCATTAATCTATCTGCCATCCCTATGAAATCTCTATGTTATAGTGTTTTGCTCAAGTTTACTTAGGTAGCCTGTGATTGCCAGGATTTAATCCCAGGTGTGACTGGAATCCTTGCCACAGTGATGGGGTCAGGAGGACAGCCTAAGACTCAGACAGATGTCTATGCAGAACCACAATTCTGAGGAAGGGTGGGCCTCATTATCTGTCCCTAGGATTCTGACACCAATTCCAATGTGTGGGTTTTCCAATAGCACAAGGCAATTATCTGTGACACCAGCTGGGTATCCTACACTTTAACTCAGCTATGACACTATCTACCTGATGATCGCATCAGATCCCACAGGTTGGTACCACAAGACTGCCCCACCCCACTTCAGATACCAAACCCTAGTTCAGGTTGTCACCTGTGCTTCTGACCAATTGGCTATAAATTGAAGGTTTCATGACCCCCTCCTCGTATTTAATTAATTGGCTAGAGTTGCTCACAGAACTCAGGATGTAGTTTACTGTTTACCATATAAAGGATACAGATGAACATGTAGGTGGAAGATTTCTGCAGAGCAAAGTACTTGGGAGCACAGATCTTTCATGCCCTCTCTGAACACTTCACTCTTCCTGTACGTCTCTCCACATGTTCCCCAACCTGGAAGATCTCTGAACCCAATCCTTTTGGGTATGTACGGAGGCCTCAACACACAGGCACGATTGACTAAATCACTGGCCACTGGAAACTGAACTCAGTCTCTAGCTCCTCTATCCCTCGAAGTCCAGGGTGGGGCTGAAAGTTCCAACCCTCCTCCTTAGGTTACCTAGGAGCTTTCTGGAAATCACCTAATTAACAGTGATCACATCACTTAGAAATTCCAAGGGTTTTAGGAACTCTATACCAAAAAGGGAATGAAGACCAAATATATATTTATTATAAATCACAATATCACTGTCCCGCTGTCCAAAATTAATTCTGACCCCTGCAGTGAGAAAGCTGCTGATTGTTCTGCCGCCCCAGGCTTGGTGAAGTCACAGTTCTCACTGGCCACACAGGTGTGGGGGCGGTCCCAGGCAAGGCCAAATACTCCTGCCATTTTTACCCAAACCTTTAGCAGTGATTCAAGCATAAACATTCTTATTTTATTTTATTTTATTTCATTTTATTTTATTTTATTTTTAGCATCACCCTTTATCCCCTCTATCCCCTCTCCCCACCAACACCCCCACCATCACACTCAAGCTTAAACACTTGGTTTTGTCTTAATTGCCAGTCAGCTTCCAGTATCCTGAAACTGTTGTTTGTGACAATTTCATCCATTTTTACATTTATTTTGTGTGACGAGAGGAATTGGCCAACCTCTCTCTTCATACCACCATTACCAGAAGTCCCACCCTATGTATTGCCTTAGTAGGGCAATATCTTCTGAATATATGTAAAAACAACTAAAATTAAATGAAGAAAGATAACTGCTAATGGTCCATACGCTTATGTTTATATTGCCAATTTGGTATAATGCAGCATTTTAAATTATTTTTAAAAGATCATAATTTAAAATCAGATTTTTTTTCATTGCAAGTTTCTAGACAGCTGCTGAAACACTCTTTGAAGACTTTTATAGTATAGAGGTAGCTAATGGATACTGAAAATATCTCATAAATATATTTTCATAGATTTGCCAGTTAATCAACTTTTATGCTTTCAGCAAGTGAAGTTGATATTTCCTAGGAGAGAACATATCATAAACTTACACCTATAAGAGAAATTACTTAATCACCATATTGGCTCATATATACCCTACTTTCCTTACTCAGACTACTCTAGTATTTTATAAAGTTAGTAAAAATGTCCAAATTATTTCAAGCTAGATAACTTTTGCTTTTTTCTTCTTTGCCACAGCAGAGGTCTTTCCCAGTTTCTCTAAGTGGAAGACATTTTCAGGGATGAAAATATCTGCACATCATCCCAGGAAAGCTGAAGGAGTTGGAAGAAGGATGGTGGAGTCTGCTGTCACAATGCAGCTTTCACTTTTAGGTGGAGAAGCATATATTTCCATTACATGGACATATAATAATTAATCTATCCAAACTCTTTCTAATGAACATTTCAACTATTTCAATTTTTCATTATTTTTTATAATGTGATAAATGAACATTCCTAAGAAAGCTCTTACTATACCAGTGAAAACGTATCTCTAAGATACATATCTAGAATGTCACAGGCCATGGGAGAGTTTACTTTTTTCACACTTTTGACATTGTGAAATTTATTAAATTGTACCATTTTTATGACTATAAAAATGAAGTCATGTTGTTTTACTTTGGGTTCTCTTAAATGTTAATGAGATTGAGCATCTTTCCAAACATTTATTGGTCATTCTTTTGAGAAAAGAGAGCTAGAGACAGAGATAGTAGAGAGGAAGGGAAGAAGGGGTAAAGAAAAGAGAGAAATGTGAAGAATCTAAGGCAAAATAGCACTTGTTATGGTAGATGCATGGGTTTTGTTGACTTATTTTCATTTAACTTCAGTATGTTTAAAATAACACCAAAATTTCATAAACACATTAGATTTAAGCCAAACTAAACTCTAAATTATTTCCTTATATTTCAGATATTGAGGGCTCTATAGTGGCTTTTAACAATGATCCTGTACCCTGGACCATTTGGATCAGTGATTAGAACATCAACCCTCGGACCAAAGAGTCTTGGGTTCAATTGTGGTCAAGGGCATGTACCTCAGTTGAAGTTCAGTCCCCATCCCTGACCAGGGTTTTGCAGGAGGCAACCGATTGATGTGTCTCTCTCACATTGATGTTTCTCTATCTCCCTCCCACTCTATCTGAAGATAAATGGAAAAATATCTTCAGGTGAAGAAAAAAAATGATTCTGCATCACAAATTAATTTAGAAAATAGTAAGCACTTACTCGAAGGCCAGAAAGCCTCCTCATGGTAACCTGGCGGTTTGAATCATGGTGTCCAGAAATTTGGTTTGGACCCGGGAACATGAAATCTCGTGTATTTTCATCATATGTAGACAGTGTTTCACCCACTACAAGAAAGATATCCTGTGATTCAAATTATAACAAAATATTCTATTTAGAAACCAAATTATCAGGTACAATATATATAATGCCCGATGCCTTACTGAAATACCTGCTTCAGGGTCATGGGTTTTTTTCTATGAAAGGAAAATTAAAGTTACGTTCAATGAATTAACATATTTCCTTTTTCAGGCATGTAGTATATATTACTAATTATCCCTACCCCTTTTGTAGAAGGAAGAATATTCATCTAAATTTAGTGAATACCAGTAAGTTCCTTTAAAAATCTTTCTAAAGGTATCAAGTTGCTATGACAGTTACACATCTGAAATTTAATTACAACTCTATAAATTTTTCTATCTTCCATTCTTTTTTACCTGTCATTATAAAGCATTAGAGTACATGTTGAAAAAAATATGGACATTTTCTGAAATTTATGGTTATCTGAACTAGGTATATATTTAATATTCAAAATTTTTCAAATTACTAGTTTTTATTAAAATATAGCTCTTTTTCATATAAATAAGTAATTGATTAAGACGTTTCTTCTATAATCGTAGATATCAGTAATAGAAATAAAACTATCCTCCATATTTTAACTCTACCTATTCTAGGGATTTGTAATGTTTGCTAAATAGGTAAGGTTTTACTCCCCTCCATTCTCAATAACAGTCCACACACAAAAACAAAGATAGTTGACTACTTTACCAACAAAGCATATAGTTTTAGGAAAATCACAAAAACCTAACAATGTTTATAAATGTCACAAAATATACTAGAATGCTATCAGGTTACTTTTTGCTTTCAATTATTACTATTTATTCAATTTTAGAACAGTGTGATCAAATGCCACTTATGTCAATATTTCTGTATAAGTTATTTTGGCCTATTGACATTTTATACATAGTGGACCATTACTAGAAACTCAACATTATTCTCAATTTGGGAAGAAGGGGAAAAGGTGAGATATTTAAAAAGCATTTCATTGAAATGGGTTCATATGTCAATTACCTCATAAAAATACAATACATACCTGGTGGAACTAGTTGAATCAACTCAAATAATGTTGTATCATCTGCAAGTTTAAAGAAAAATTTTCTTAAACAAATTAATAACAAACAAAAGTTAGTTACTTTACAACAGAAGTTACTAAAAGTCAAAGTAATTACTGGGTAGACTACATATATGTTTCTATCTTAGTATACTCTGTGTACATGTGTGTGTGTGTGTGCACACGCACGTGTGGTGTGTGTGTTGATATGTTTTTTATGGCTTTACTAATCCATAGTACACATTAACCCTTCAACCTCCCTGGGGTTTTCTTTCTAATTTTTTAAAGACTTTATGTTTTTAGTGTAGTTTTAGATTTATAACATGATAGAGAAATACAGAGATTTCCATATCCTCTGCCCCCACACATGCATAGCCTCCCCCCATTATCAACATTACTCACAGAAATGGGTACTTTTTTTTTTTTACCAAGGATGAACCTACATTGCCATATCATAATCCCCCAGAGTCCATAACTTGCCTAATGCTTTACTCTTGGTGGTGTATATTCTGTGGGTTTGAACAAATGTATAATGACATAATTCCATCATTATAGTATCATATTTTCACTGCCTTAAAAATCCTCTGTTCTCTCATAGCTTTTAATAAGCTCATGAAGTAGAGGAACAAAAACTGGAGCAGCAGGCCTTAGGACGAGAAGGGAGGTAAGAGACAGTGGCCTGATAAACTAGCTAGAGGATAGAACTGGATCTTGAAAAGATAAACCAAATGAGTACAGAGTAAACTAAAAATAGCCAGTGTTATATCCTGAATGTTTGTAACCCCTAAAATTCATATGTTGAAATCCTAATCCCCAAATGTAGTATTTGGAGTTCGGAGCTTTGGGAGGTAATTAGGGCAAAGTCCTCATAAATGGATTATGTAGTGTCCTTATAAAAGAAACCCTAGAGAGATCCCCTGCCCCCTCTACCATGTGAGAACACAGAGAAGGTGGTCATCGATGAGTAGAAAAGAAACCCTCACCAGACACGGAAACTACTGATGCCTTCATCTGGGACTTTCCAGCCTCCAGAACTGTGAGAAATAAATTTCTATTGTTTAACAAGACTCCCAATCTATAGTATTTGTTATAGCAGGCCAAACATACTGAGACAACCAAGTAGGAACTGAGGCATACACTTGAATCATACAAAATCCTGTCTGAATTAAGGTGAGTGGGAATTGCTAGTGCTCCATAGTCATCCTACTAAAACAATCATAAGATCATAAGTGTGGTGTGAAGGAAAATATCCTCCTCTAAGGTTTCAAATTATTTCTAAAATTTTTACATTTAACATCTGACATTCGATGAAACTGACCAAGTAAAAAAGATTATATATATATATATATATATATATATATATATATATATATCTCATTGGGGAAAAAAAATAAGAGAAATAACAGAAATAAAATAAGAAAAACAGGAGACCAAGGGGAAAAAAAGTTATCAGACTCAGACTAAAAATATGCTTAATATGCTCAATAAAATAAAATACAAGACTGAGAATGTTTAACAGAGAACTAGGAACAATTATAAACAACCAAATATGCCTGTTGAATTTTCCCAACATCATTTATTGAAGAGATTGTCTTTACTCCATTGTATGCTCTTGCCCCCTTTGTTAAATATCAATTGACCATAAAGACATGGGTTAATTTATGAGTTATCTGTTCTCTTCCATTGGTCTATATGCCTGTTCTTATGAACAAAAGGGAACCAGAAGTATGGTACATAGAACAGACTGGTAGGAGCCAGAGGGGAGGACGGGTGGGGTGACTGAATAAAGAAGTTGAAGGGATTAGCTAAAGAACATATATGCAGCCCTGGCCGGTTTGGTTTAGCGGTTAGAGCGTCAGCCAGCGGACCAGAGAAGCCCGGGTTTGGTTCCTGCTGAGGGCATGTACCTAGGTTGCAGCTTGTCCCTGGCCCTGGTTGGGGTCGTGTGCATGGCAACCACTCGATGTGTCTCTCTCACATTGATGTTTTCTCTCTCTCTCTTCCTCCCTCGCTCCCTCCCACTCTGTCTGAAGATAAATGCAAAAATGTCTTCAGGTGAGGATAAAAAAAAAAAAGAACATATATGCATATCCCTTGGACAGGAACAATCAATACTGTGGTGGAGGCCAAAAGGGGGACGGGGCTAAATGGGAGAAGTCTACAATAACGTCAACATTAAAATTTTTAAATAAAAAATATGAAATAAAATACAAAAATAAAAATGTTTCAAATGCAATATAAACATGTTAGAGAGATGTAGGTAAGTACAAAAAAAAAAAAAAAAAAAAACAATTTAAAAAAAGAAAGAAAGAAAAGTAGTCCCTAAGCGAGTGGGAAATGATGGAGAGGGAGGTTACAGGACTGCTGTTTTTTGTAATAAGCTCTGTAAACTATACATAATTTTGATATCAAGAAAAATTGTGTAATTCTATAACCAGTTAAAAATGATATTTTTATATAAGTAAAAAAAATATAAAAAGATAAGGCATTAGCATTTACACATATATATGTATTTATATAAAAGTATGTGTGTGTGTGCATGTGTATCTGGTCTGAGAGCAAGTCCTACAGAATAGTAAAATTAATGCAAAAAATCATTTTATAAAGAAAAGTGAAAGGCTAAAAGTAAAGCCAAGGAAGGAAATAGCCCTTTTATAAGGATCTACGTAAAATGAAAATGTCCCACCCTAGCCAGTCACTCTGGAAGGGACCAAACACATAAACAGAACAAAATCAATGAAACACTCATCAATATATCCTAAGAATCCCAAAACACCAATCATAAAGAATATGTGCATAACTATGTTCATAGTAGCACTATTTACAATAGCTAAGATCTGGAAACAGCCCAAGTACCCATCAGCATATAGTGGATAAAAAAGCTGTGGTACATTTACACAGTGGAATATGACATGGCTGTAAAAAAGAAGTTTTACCCTTTGCAATAGCATGAAGGGACCTGGAGAGTATTATGCTAAGTGAAATAAGCCATCAGAGAAAGATAAATACCGTATGATTTCAGTGATATGTGAAATCTAATGAACAAAATAAACTGATTAACAAAATGAAACCAGAAGCACGAATACATGGAACAGACTGGCCAGTGCCCAAGAGGAGGGGTGGGGGGTGACTGGATAAAGAAGGTGAAGGAGCCCTGGCCGGTTTGGCTCAGCAATTGGAGCCTCAGCCTGCGGACCAGAGAGTCCCAGGTTCGGTTCCCACTAGGCCCTAGCGGCTAGGGGCACATACCAAAAAAAAAAAAAAGGTGAAGGAAATAGCTAAAGAACATATATGCATATCCCATGGACACAGATAAGGCCAAGGAAGGAGTAGGCGAGGAAAGTGGAGGTGGGCAAAAGGAGGGGAGGGGGACTCCTCCAACATTAAAATTTTTTAAAATAAATAATTACATGAGATTTAGTATTGCCAGATATTATTGATGTGACCTATTTACATTGAAGAAAGAAAAACATAGCTGTTAAAATATATTTCCAGCCCTGGCCGGTTTGGCTCAGCGGTTAGAACGTCGGCCTGCGGTCCTGAGAGACCCGGGTTCGGTTCCCGCTAAGGGCAAGTACCTCGGTTGCAGTTTGTCCCCGGCCCTGGTCGGTTGTACGGGTGGCAGCCACTCGATGTGTTCCTTTCACATCGATGTTTCTCTCTCTCTCTCTGTTCCTCTCTCTCCCTCCCACTCTCCTGAACAAAAAAATGGAAAAATGTCCTCGGGTGAGGATAAAAAATAATATATATATATATATATATTTCCAAACATAGTTTTTAACTCTAATAAATTTGCTAAAGGTATTAATTAATGGTCTCAGGAGTACACAATTTTAAAATCGAGGGCTTAAATAGAAAACAGACGTAAGATTTGTGTCAAAGTACTCTATACCTTCTGAACCCACCACTGACACACAATGAGAGCTGCCGCACAAAGTGAAGCAATGACAGTATTATGTAGGTCACATTGTTACTGACACCCCTCAGCTGGAAAGAAAAGGCCTGAAACATAATTGCTTGAGTTTGTTTAGTTTATATTTTATCATAAGAACACAGATTAACTGCTCAGAAAACTATTTCCTATTTCTATAAACATCTTTCTATTCCTTTATATTTAAAATCTATATTTTGGCAAAAATACTTCAGGAAGAAAGACCTTAAATTGTTGAAGAAAAAGCTTTATAGAAAACCAAAGCTGCTGGAAACCAACCCCGAGTTACTGTAAATAACATCTGCTGGAACGTGTTATGTAATTAACGTCATTTTAGAGTTGCCCTCCATCTTATAACTAAGCAATAACAGCTTTCCTCCCTCCTCTGTAGAACTTTGTTTCCATGTACTTTTAGTGTGAGTTACGGAGTAAATGCACTGCAATACTCCAGAAATCCTGGTCACAGGGAGCAAATCAAAAGCTGCAGAAAATACCTTGAGAGGATCCAGAATGCGTCTAACCTCTGGTGTCAAAAAGAACAATTGCTATAATAATTTTTTCTAAATACCGATTTACCTGCCCTAACTACAAAGAAGAAGATGAACTGGTTGGAATGCATGTGCCACTGTGAATTTAAAATATGCTTTCTGAGTCCTACAAGCCCTCCTAACAATCCAGGTGAGGATACTAACATGCACAGACATTGAGGATTTATTCTCAGCCTTCAGAGCTCTACCTGAGAGCAAACACCAGGTAAGCACCAATTCCCAGACGCTGAAAAACAGGGGCTCTAATGAAACTGCCATTTTCCCCTACAGGCCAGAAAAAGCAACAGGGATACCTAGCAATCTACTGCAATACAAATAAAGATCATATCTTCTCTTTATGCAAATACTGAAGGGAATGAAGCTAGAAGTATTATAAATTTTCAAATACAAAATATATTTCCTAATGAAATGATTATAACACTATAAATAGGTATCTCTCAATGGGATAGTTCCAACCCTCAAAAAAATAATAATGAGAAGCAGTTATTTCATGCTATTTTATTTAACTCCCTGGATATCAAATATCTAGCATGTACCATATATTG